GAGAGAGAGAGAGAGAGAGAGAGAGAGAGAGAGAGAGAGAGAGAGAGCATATGACAGGTCAACAGAGTTACGATTTGCACTTGCGCGTTGTACCAGGTATGTAGCATGGCTGGATGGTTGTTTTTGACGCGATTGTTTTTCCCTCGCTTGCTGCTGTGGATGAAGGACACTTGCCCAACACGACGAAACCCCATCTATTTCGAAGGACCTACGTATACCAGGTACAAAGTACCAACGGATCATCAAGCGGGCAAAACCTGGTTAGAAAGCAAGGGTGCCGTATATTTGACGCTCGGCCTCGTTCCCTTGCTCTGCTCAACTCGTGGTGTCATTTGTCTTCCATGTCCCCCAAGGCGGCGTTGCTCTACACCACCTCCTGCGGAGAGCGGCGCATTCGGGTGCACAACCTGGCGGTCCCGGTGGAGACGGTGGTCCAGAACGTCTTCGACAGCGTCAGCATCGATGTTTTGTGCAACATTCTTGCCAAGCAGGCGCTCGAGGTTGGTGCATTAACTCGAGGGTTGGTCTCATCTTGTTGGCTTAGATAATAGGCACGAGAGAGCAAAAAATTTGCATTTTGTCACACTCAAGATTGTTTCGAGTTGGGTGCTGTCAATGGTGAGATGGTTTGGTATTCATCCACTTTGTGAGAGAGTTTTGAGGCGGAAGCAGGTAGGGGTATGTAGGATTTCGGATTTTTTTCTCGAAGCAGAGGAATTACCGAAAAGTCATACCGCTATAGCCATTTTACAGCGCAAACAAGAAGCACACTTGTACATTTTGAGAAAAGAACAGAGATGACGGGGAGTCGATATAGCCCCAATATAGTTCTCTACATTTGACTCTCCTTGCCAAGTGCCCGCGATCATGCTGATCTTGATGACACAAGTCAGTAACATACCCCGGTCGAAGCTGTCAGTAGCCACCCCGAAGATTCACGAATCCTGAATTTCGGAATATCGCCTCTTGGAGAAACATCTTATATTATTGTCGAAGTTGTCTGTTACATTAGGCCGCGGGGCACGTTTTTTTCTTTTTTGTCCTCGTTGTTCCATAACACGTGTGTGGGTTTCTTTCGGGTAAAAGGTGTCCCTCAAGAGCGGATTGGACAGCGCCCGCTCGAAGATCCAACAGACCTGCGTGGACATCATCCGCGCCAGCCGCGGTGGGGGCTACGGGTCTAGCCCCTACATGGCTGCGGGCGCCCAGCAGCAGGTTCGTTAGCAGAGCGCAGATTTGTCGCTGCCGAAGAAAGGCTTTTTGTCGTGTCAATTTTGACGGCAGTTCCGCTGTGTCGATAGATACAGCCTGGCCAGATGCTGCCCCACGCAGAGCAACTTTTGTTTGTTTGCATCAATTGGCGCTATTTCGAAAGTTGCAGCAGGCAAGCCAGAGCACCTATGTATGCTTGATTGGCGACAGAGCGCGAATCAGAACCGGACCGAATTTGTCGCTCCGCACATCCGTGCTCTGCTTGTCTTTCATGGCAGTTTCAACATGTAGCTTAACCCCGACTATTATCTGTGGAAGCGACGTACTATACTTTTAATTGTTTCGCTCTGACGTTCCTCACAAATGTGTGTGAATAATTGCGATGCGATGGCCGCTTTTGTTGGTGTTGTGGTTAGCCGACTGCGATCTCCGAGGCGATTCAGCTTCTGCCGCTGTACAGCATGGCCCTCCAGAAGAATCTTGCCTTCCGCGGCGGAACCGATGTGCGCACGGACGAGCGGGCGAACGTCCAGTCACAGCTGGCTAACATGCCGGTCGACCACAGCCGATGCTTCACCTACCCACGCATGTTCAGGTGGGCTTTGTGGCCGGAGGACGGTGCGGTGTGTGGCAGTTCAGTGTGAGGGTGGACCTTGTCAGACCACTATTCCGTCGAAAACCGAAAATATAAAATCGAAAATGTCACTGATTGGACAGGGCTCCAGTGTTCCGCCGCCGGTTTTCCGATCTGGGGGTTGTAAGTGTTCCGAATACTCTCGAATATGGTAAAATCAAAAGCGAGCACGAACAGACTCGAAATCGAAAATCGAAAGTACCAACCGGAAAATCAAGCTGACTTGCACCCCCCCGCAGAATCGTACGTGCCTCCATTTCGATACTCGTCTAGCCACCTACAGACTGCTTGGTGATGCGAGCTTGACAGAAAGCTGACATCCAGCAGAGCACGGTAGACTATACTTTCTTGGAGCGAAATCTGCTCGAAGTTGAGAGAGAGAGAGAGAGAGAGAGAGAGAGAGAGATTCATCGCCGTGAAGTTCTTTCTTGGAAAACGCAGTTCAACGGCAGCTATTTTGGCTCTCCTACATCAGCACACGCACCATTCAATCACACATTGCTCGCTGACTTCGAAGCGTATCGATGCGAGACAAAGACCCGCCAACCCGCCTGATCATGGCCGTTGTTCGGAGCTATCGTTCGCTGTCTTGGATGCCGTGTGGCTCTCATGGTCATGGTTTGAATCATCGCAACTGGTACGTACGGGCCTTGTTCGCCTCTTACAGGTTAATTTTCGATTTCGATTCCCCGCCTGCGCTTTGTAGAGCCAACCCGAAATTGAAAATCAAAATCTAATTTCGATTTCGATTTACGATGCAACATTTTTTTGACAAGGTCCACCCTGAGGTTGTGAATTTGCATCGACGGCGCTAGCCGGCTGACCAATGAAAAGCCAGGACGTCGGTCTTGAAGTGGGAGAATAATATCTTTTCTTTGTGCTTTTTTTTTTTTTCTCCACGATTGCCTGTTTCCCTCCCTCCCTCTTGCCGCGCCTCGCTGCTTGTTGTTGTCGTCGTCGTCACTGTCTCTGTGATGGCGTCGGTACGCAGACCCAGGCCCGTCGTGACGAAAGTATCGAAAACTATTGTTGATATGTTTTCGGAGTCATCTCTTGGGTAAAGAGAATTCATGATTTCTGCCCCTGCTGCACACGATACGAAATAGATGCCAAAGCCTTCAGAGCCCGAACTGAAAACGTGCTATGTATACCATGTTCTATTCTCATTCGACATGCTTGGAGAAAATTGTCTCTGACACCCTCCGCCTACTCTGCCTGCTCCCCTCGTGCGTGGACAAACCAGCCTGCACGACATGGAGGAGGACGCGGGGCTACCGCGGGCGGACGGTCCGGAAGGACACCTCACCCCCACGGCGGGCACGGACGACATCAAGCTCCCGGAAGTCAGCAACCTCTCGGCAGAAAGGTGGGGGCTCGTGCTGACACCGGGTGCCGAGGAATGCTGTACATGTTCATGTTATGAATCGGGGGGTAAATTGCAAAGGAATATCGCAGATGTTCCATGCTGGGAATGGGGGGATCGGGGTCATATGATGTCGCGGACAAGGTCGGCAGCCTGTCGGCACGAGGAGTGTAGCCATGTTTTTTGTTTATTGGCCGCTCGTGGCGTTGGATAATGCCGACGGTGGCCTGAAGGAGAAAAGTTGGTGCCCCCCCCAATTGTACCGTCCCCGAAAGATTGCAACCTCTGTTGCCGGATGTGATGATTTCACGCCGAGAACCTTCTTTGGTAAATACGCATGTAGCAATGGTCCAACTGGCGCGGACTCCTCCCGTAGTCACAGACTATCAACACGGGTGCTATTTGTGAAAAACAATTACAACAGACCCACATAATCGACACCATAGCGGTAGTTATAAGTACGACGCCAAAAGAGCTATCCCAAACAGTTCGGTAGCGTAAAGCGGCACGTTGTTCGGTGTGTGTATTCTCTTCAAACAGCGAACAAGATTATACATGTCTAATTCGGTTGTCAAACAAAACCTCTTGGGTGGTGATTTGCACATTCTTTACTCGAACACAAGAAAATCAGCGTAAAGACATGCCTTGGCTCTCAGGGAGATCGCAACTCGAAAACGGTGTTGTTTGTTTTTTGTTGTTTGTTTTTCCACACATTAAACTCGTGTCAGTTGCTAATCCCAAAATCTAGCAAAGACTCGGTCCGTGGTCACAAAAATGCTAGAGCAATCAGATCTAAACAACACACACACCATTAGCAAGAAAAGGGTACGCAAGCCCGAGGAGGTACACCTGCAATTCCTGCAGCAGGTGTAATGTAGGATGAAGTGACCTTTGGCGGTGACACGATCTGGAACATCGCCCGAAAAATTCTTAGCAAGGTTCTGTGGCACCGCCTGAAAGGGCTCGCGATTGGTGCGGCACCGATTGTATAGGATGTCACGTCACGCGAACCCTACGACACACACTTCCTCCACCGGTACCACCACCCTCCTCCCTCCTTGTGTGTGTTTGTATCGTTGGTGGTTGTGGATGTTGGATGGAATACCACCGGCCGTGTCTGTCTCTAGTCTAAGCCCATGGCGGTGTCGATTGTTCGTAAGCGACTGAACGACGATCATAACGACGATGTCGTGATGATGATGGTGATGATGTCCTGATAATGGCCATGATGATGATGATGGTGGTGATGCAGATTGTCGTCTGAGGGAGTGTTCCTGCTGGAGAACGGCGTGGAGCTGTTCCTGTGGGTGGGAAGGGCGGCCAACCCGGCGGTGGTGTCGGCGCTGTTTGGCTTACCTTCTCTCGAAGGCGTGGACCTCACCCGGTTGCAGCCTCAGGTGACGAGCAATAACGGTTGCGATAGCTGTCTCTCGTTGTAGTCGGCAGTCTCTGTTACACCTAGCCTCTGCCGAGCTTGACCGTGCCTGCTGTGGGGTAATTTTTTCGGCCGTTGACGGGGCACGAAGGGTTTCCTCCTGGACTACACTTACCAGGAACATCGCCGTCGATGCCCAAAACTATTGTTCCTTGGCGTGAAAACGGTCTTGAGACATGGCCTTCACTACCACGGGCAGCATACCTCCAGTGGATTCTCTCCCCCCCACGCCGCTGGCGGATTGGACGTGGTGTCATCAACAGAAGTGTTTCCCCTCGCCTCACACCGTGGTCACCACTTGCTATCGCGGGTATTGTGTGTTTGTTTTTTTTCCTGCATGCAGGAGGAGGGGAACGACTTGTGCCGCCGGGTGAACAGCGTCATCGCGGCGTTGCGGCAGGAGCGGATGACGTACTTGCAGGTGCCCGAGGGTGTTCGTTGATGATAACGTTAACGTTGCCAACGAACTCGGTGTTGATTTCGTGCGTTTATGGGTTAAAACATGAAGTGGTCCGATGGTTTCGGCGATGACATGTAAGCCAATGATCATCGCCCACGTGAAAGCCAACATGACATGCTTCATTTCGATCTTGAAGAACGCGTGGGTGGAATGGGTTTCTTTTTACAATGTAGTCCAGGAGGCAGGTATTGCACGCCTCCGAATTCGAGAGAAAGGCTTACCGCTTGCTAGTTGATGCCATTTCACCGAAATTTTAAACTTGAATGCATGCACTTCTCGCCACTAAATAGCGAGTGAAGTGTTGCTTCCGCCTCTAGATACATTGCACATCTGTTGCCCGAACTTCATCGCCAAAGGGAACTTTTGCTTCGAGCTTTCGTTCTTGAGATTCCGGATCTCATGCATCTCCTTGTGCGAGCGTGCATTGTCGATCTAAGCCCCCCAAGTTGTCACGTCCTCTCTGCTCCATGTACCCTGTGTCCCGCGGTCGGCAGGTGACGGTGGTAGGGGAGGACGACGGCCACAACGAACGGCGCTTCTTTTGGCATCTCGTGGAAGACCGGGCGTCCTTCCCAGGCGGGTCGATGAACTACGCCGAGTACATGCAACACATCAACCGACAGAGCGTCGGCGGGATGGGCATGGGCTGACGGCTGCGTGCGTGAGAGGTTCACGGCCGGAGGGCGGGAGAGGGAGCAGACTATGGGGGTTGTTCAATAATATTTGGGATTTTGATGGTGTTGTCCCTTGGCATGTCGGTCTGCTTGCGGACTTGATCTTGGGGGAGGTTTTCGTCAGTGGGTTGCTTTCTTGCGGCTGAAGGCGGGAGTTGGTGCAACTGGTGGGGAGAGACGGAGAGGACGAGAGGTGTTTTCGGCACCGCTCAGCGATCGCTTGGGGAAGGTTGTACGTATCACGTATTTTATCTTGTCGCTTGTGTGCATACGCCCCTGTTCTTGTTGCCCTTCTTTCCCCTTGCACGTCTTTGCTATTCAGGCGGTCCTTTCGTTTTTTTTTTTTCGTGTGCGTCGGTTTGGCCAGCTCTGGCAGTTATTTCAGATGCCAGGAGGGGGATCGTTGATGACGTCGATCATCATAGTTTGCGACTTGCATGTGGTATCGCGACAATGTCCCTACAGCTAGCTGTCGTTCGTGATGTAGACGATTGATACGGGTGTCTTACGTGGGGGTGAATGAAGGCTTCAAAGCGATATTTTGAACTGGTCCGGGGGGAAGCGTTGCTTTCATTCCGAGCGATGACGGCCACGGAAATTCCCTTGTTGATATCTGTCGAATCCCGCAATCTGCGATATGACAGAGACGCAAGCAGTTTTCGGATTGGCTGAGAAAATTTTGGTTGGCCCATTATCCTTGGACGGAGGCTGCAGGGGTTTTTGTTGTTGTTGTTGTTGTTGTTGTTGTTGTTGTTGTTGTTTCTCACATTAGCTCTATAGTCCACAAAAAATGGGGAGCCCGTGGTCTCAAAACCCGGCACATACGACGCCGCGGGGAAACAAAACAAAAACAGGGTACAAACCACTCGGAACAAGAAAACAAAATGATAAAAAGAAAAGAACAGGTATCGCACCGACCGTTCGAGAAAAGAGCCCTCGGAAACCGATCAAAATAAAACAAAAACAAAAAACTCCCGTGTGCCGCACAATTTGACACAGATGCATGCATATGCATACCAAACTCAATTACTTACCAAATCATATTCCTCGCGTTAAATGCATACCAAACTGGAAATACACGTGTAAAATGGATGGAGATCCACAACCAACAGGGTGCCACACATAAAACACCCGACTAACTAACAGCCCAACACTTTTCGTCTACACCTTCCCAACATAACATATATAAGACACACAACACAGCTACCAAACTGTCTTGTTGAGCCTGTTATCCGCAGGGGAGATGTCCATATATGCTGTCTGGGAAATCGTGGACACACAACAGGTAGTTTTCTTTGACGCTATGATTCCATTGCTAATCTGTCTTTGACTCTTTTCTCTGACGGAGATGGACTCGTTGTGTTGTATTTGGAAAAATAAAAAAAAAAAAATAAAGGAGGACGCTTCCCACACCCGCCCAAAGAAAAAATCAAAGGGTAACGTACCAGCACCAGGCACTACGCACCAGGGCATGGGAGTAACGGAGCAAACAGTGTGTAGGGGGCTAGGGGCATGTTGGAGTTGCCGACAAAACATTTGAGTCAAGTAGTACAACGAATTAGTGGCAGCATCTGCAGCAAGTCGCCTCTCGGAAGACATTTGGTTTGGACAGCTGCAACGTAGAAGCATACAGCCCAGCGCTGGGAGGCGTTGAGCTTGCCCCGACTGCCGGCTCGTCTTTTTGGTCGAGGTTGTTTTTTCGCTGCCTGTCGTGAGGACCCTGATTCGGTCTTTTGGCATGAAACGCCGTAGGGAAAGCGGGCGTTGAAACCGTTTTTTGAATCACATTTGATATGAGGTGGTGTTTCGACTTTGGATCTTTGGATGGAGTTTCCGCGCGGGGCACGCGTAGACGATGGCTTTGCGAGGAGGGTTGCTTAGGATGTGATCCCGAGAGGCACTGAATTTGGGATGAGAACCGTGTTTCCGAGCAACCGAAGAAACGCCGTGTGAAGTGTCCCGACTTGCCTTCCTCACAAGCGCGTGGGAGTCAAGCGCATTGAACGCGGGCTCCAAAGGTATGCTGACAACATGTATGGTGGTTTGCATGTCACCATCTCAGCGTTGGAACGGCGGCAGGACACATCTAGACTAAGCCTATGCATATATATGACCATGCTTGTATGTTTTGGGTTGCGCTCTTTGCACATGGACACTCCCATATAGGCTCCCAGGCGCACGTGGTACCCATTCAGTGATGCATTTCCAGCCCGCACAAGTGCTTGACCCTTGTCATCGTCTTCACGCCATCCGGCTGCTCCTGGCTTCACATGCGCAACCCGCATGCGCACACCGATGGTGATAGTTATAGAGAGAATCGTTGCACCACTTTGCAGTCAGCAGAGTCTCGCCGTATGTATATGCCACACCCTCCTTGACTCTTGGCCCCGGCTGTCCCTACGCTGAGTACGACAACACATGCCCTGAATACTGCTACACTTCCTGCGATCTGATCTCCGTTCGGGGCCCTTTTATTGGCGTTGGGGGCGCGAAGACAGAAGAGGTGGGCTGTGCAGTTGACTTAGACGCTGCTGCTTGCTTTCTGGGTCAGACGCGGCGAAATTCACGCGGTCAGCGGTCAGTTGGACGGATGCGGCGAAATAAATGAAAAATTCCCAGCAGTTCCTTCCACGATTCATGAGCGAGATCTTTGGCATCCTAACCCTCTAAAAGACTCGGACGAGAGCTTGGCCATAGCTTTAGATAGGAGAAGGTCATGAGAGCTTCTAACCGTCGCCATCGAAAGCCCTTCGTCGTTACTGGCGTGTATTGCTGCTGTGCAATTCTAGCGACGACCTTCTCAGCACGTGAACAAGTCGTTGCAGTAACGCCCGCTAGCATCAGCGGCCGTAGCGAGGCCAGCAGGAGCAGCAACAGCAGCAATAGAAGTAGGAGCCCGCAGGGAAAAGTAAGCGCCGCTTGGGCCGGATCGTCGCGGGCAGACGCGGTCTTCCCACTTTTGCATCTGCATTTCTGTCTGGACTGCCCGGACGCCGCGGCAGAAGGTTCAGTCGGTGAGAGACACTCACCAGCTCGCGGCAGACCTTTGTGTCTGGGAGCGCTTGGTAATTTCTTCATAATAACTCGGTCACTGTTGTACATAGCTGAATACTCTATAGATGTGCTGTCTGCTGCAGGAAGCAATGCCCGTCTGCAGCTACAGCGCCTCAAAACTTCTCCCAGTGTCTTATTTTGTTCGGAAGTACGTCTTGATTCAGCAGGTCGCATATTTCCCTTGAACATCGTCTGGCGCATGGTAGGCGTCGAAGACTGCTGCCGATAAGGCCTCTGTTATTGCTACTTCTGTACGGAGATTGAAGGTGCACGTTGCCTTCCACCCTACATTGCGTAGGCCTGTACCAGAACGAGCCCTCTCCGTATGTCGAATACCGACAGCCGTCATTAATCTTCTCTCCCCAACCCGCCTCCGTTTCTATCTACTGCTGTTGCCCTCGATCTTTCAGTACGGGCTCTTGCACCACACCATGGCATTCGCGACTTCAAGGTCTCCGGAGGTGAGATTCACAGTGGTACTTGTATGGTGTCCTGTGGTGCCAACTTGATCGGCGAGCCTTTCTTGACCCCCCCTTTGTCTTCCGGCCTTGATTTTTATTTTGGCTTCCTTCTCCTCCATATCGTCACGGGTGCGATATTCTGTGCGACATCCTGTGCGAATAAGCAAGGCGAGAGAGAGAAAAAAAAGGTGTCCACAGCGCGAGAAAAGATGCCCGCAATTCTCTAGACTAGACATTTTTTTGGAAGGAAAATCCCTTTGGACGAAAATACGTTCGCGAGCCCACGTTGTGAATAGTGTGTTCCGCCATGCCAACATGCCTCGAAAAGTGTATACCTCGCACCTGAACTAAGCCACAAAGCCTTACATCTAGCATGACATTGCCTGGCGCTGTCGTCCTTGTCGTCATGTTGTGAGAGAAGATGTGGTGTACGCCGTCCCAAACACCGGAAACAAGGACATGCTTCTAAACGGGGACGACATGGCTGCTTGCGTCGTTCTGTTCGAAAGAGGGGAGGTGAGGGCAACAAATAGCTGGGGCGGGCATTGATGGTAGCCAATCTCGAATCCGACGTGTGAAGCCATGGTTGGGAGTGAGTGCTGCGATTTGATGCGTAAAAAGTCAACAGCTTACTGAAAACAAAGGTTCTATCGCGGGGCACTTGCTAGTGTACCTCGCTGTCATAACCCGGTCGCGCAACAAAATTTATCGTGCGGCAGCCCCAGTACAACATGATGTGGTTATTCTGCCTCACCTGACAAGAACGTGAAGGTGTATTCCACAAAATGTTGTCATCAATGGTTATATTTGCTCAATCGTGACAGCAGGTACCTCGACGAATGCCTCCACATTTATCGCACACACAAGCATTGACAACACCTACACGCGCGTGCGCTTTTAGGTTCCGGTGGTGGAAAAGGTTCTTAAAGCACAGGCTGCGGGGGCGGTCGGGGTAATTGTCGTCGACAACGGCGGCTGCGACGACGGGTTCGTCGACTGCGGCCGGCTGGGCGGCGCCCGGGACGGGGGTTTCGCGAAGCGGGACGGCGTGCACGCTTGGTCGGGGGTGAAGATTCCGGCGGTGATGGTGTCGGCGGTGGACGGGGAGAGGTTCAGAGAGATGATGCGCCTGCAGAAGATCATGGTGGAAGGGCTAGGGGAGCAGCTAGTGGAGCGGTAGAAACACGGTTTTCGGCCGCCGAAAGCCACTTGCTTGTTGCGCGGGTTTTCGGCGGTCGCGGTGTCGTTCTGTCTTGCGTGAGTGCGTGGTGGGAAGAGAGGGAAATGTGTAGAGGGGAGGGCGTGAGTCGCTTCTTCAGCTTTGTGGCCCGGAAATTTATGTCTGCCCTGCCCCTTCGCTTTGGAAGAACACGGGAGCCGGGGGCGACGACGCTATACTGCGATATTCTCTGCGCGATTCAAAACCACCGGCGCATGCTCTCTCTTTTTCGGTTGTGGTCGTGTATCATGTCGAAGACATGAGGTCGTTTTGATGTCCCAGTAGTACACTCGTGTGTGATTGAGTGCTCGAAATGATGTCTTGACCACGGTATTTTGGTGACGGTCGAGTACACCACATACCTCGAATCAAAGAAAGACGTGTGTGTCTACAGTGTCAGACTTCAACGCCAACCATCTACTGTAAGTCACTTCATGGTCCCGTTGCTTCTATGGGCTATAGCCCGCTCCGCGGTTTCATAGACCTGAGCCGTCGTCATCGTGATTCAGGTTCAAGTTGTTATTTCTGCGTGGGGACACAACACAAGGAACCAAAATACGCTGACTAGCAATATTGGCTGAGTGCCTTGTTTTGGACTTTCCATGTTTCTTTCAAAGGCAAGACTGTAGCTTTTGTACAAGGGGGCTCCACCCGCTCCCCTTCGAGGGGCGCGCGCTTCGCTTAAGCCTGCACATGAGCATGAGGATAGTGTAGCAGCAGTAGAAGATGCCAAGCGGATAAGGTAGCGAATGTAGACGGGCGCCGACGAACGTATTGATGCAGCTGAACGCAAATTGGTGCTGTTGCTTGTTGTCGTTCCGGTCTCCGCTCGAAAGGGGAAGACCCGTATGTTTCCGTTGGACGCTTGCAGGAACACATTCAACAACAGGGACTGTTGAAGGTTGTGCTTGCGTGACAGACATGCCGGGAAAGAACGCGGCGACATGAAACCTCTCACAATAACTGTACTACCGACGAACGAACGGCAGGCACGCACTTCCCCTCTCAGCCAATAGCGGGAGGGATTCCTCTTTTGGTTCGGGTTCGTGGGTAGCGGACGTTCCGGCTCACAGACCACGTTGCGTTGGCGCTGGCGTGGGGCGCGGCGAGCATGAGGGCGCGGGACATCCCAGGGCAGGCCACATATATTTCAGGGCAGCCGCAGGCGAAAAACCCGATCGAAATCCACTTTTTTTGCGATATTTGTTGAGGTGTTTTGTCTCTAGGCGCCTGTGGTGAGATGACCTTTCTCTATGCTAGAAAATGGAGAGGCGCTCATCGCTGGAAGATCGGAAACGCGAGGAGCGTCGAAGCGCTAGGCGAACCTAACCATGTTTTCAGAAACGCTAATAGCTTCTGAACACGCAGTTCCGACAAGTTTCGAAGTCTTCCTTTTGCTCAACGATTTCGACGTATCAAAATCCAGCGTACAACGGTCATGCCGACACCCCACCTTCGGAGTGGAAGCACAATGACGGTGCAAGTGACACCTACTGTCTGCGAGGCCTGTCTCGAATGAAGCCACACTCGAAGCAAAACACTATCGAGAGTTTGCTTCATGGCGTCCGGGCGTGGCCAGCCAGTGCTCAACCAAACGTGGCTCTTACGAAAAGGAGGTCTCTGGGCGTTATTGT